TTTCAGATGATGTAACATTCAGCCAAATTAATGTACGTGCAACGATTTTAAAGAACAAAGTAGAGTGCAAAGTCTTTTTCTGTACAGATGTTTATTTTTCCTATTTGCTATCATGGCAACATTGCCTAATTCAAAATTTCCTGTAGTTGTAGTCTGTGTAATGTGCGCTTTATACACATGTTGAGTATTGCTATCAAATCTGCATCCATTATTCTTATGCCACAAGTTTCAAAAGTTTCTTTTACTTAAATGTTTTTGCTGAGCTTTACTTTTTCAATGTTTCACAAATTTTTTTATGGGATCACATAAAAGCAATTATTCTCATATTTTTACATGATTTTTTTATTTAAAGAAGTTTTATATCAAGTCTTTTGGACATTAACCCTTTCTTCTCGAGGGTGCCGATCGGTTGGTACCCCCCACTGTTAAGCAAAACCACAAGGGTACCGATTTGTAGACACCCTAGTAAAAATCTTTTTTTTTTAATTTATCGACAACAGATATCAGCATCTTGTCTATTGTCTGTTTTACATATTTTTGTCCAGGTGGTGTTTTGTTGACTTAAAAATTTTTAATTAATTCTTTTTTTTTTTCTTAATTTATTTTTCCTGATAATTTTTTATTTCATTTTTAGCATATTCATGCAATAATATTACTATAATAAGTTCATTCATGCTATAATAAGTCAACGTGTTATAAATATTCAAGTTGTGACCTTCAGTTCTGACATTTTATATATTTTTTTATTTTTTATTTTAATCTAAAATATCAGCAAATGTTAAATGTATTACTACTGGTAATCGTATGTTTATTACAAAAATTTATATTCTTGTTCGCTATGAAGTGAATAAAGTATATTAGTTTATTTTATTAGTTGATAGCAGAATAAAGTTTTGAATTCAAACAAATGTTTGATATAATGTGTGATAATTTCACAACGAATAAACGTACATGCATAAGTGTTATATAGAGTTGTACAGAACAATATTCTACGTCTTTCTGGCTCATTGCCAGCAAAAAACTAGGTAACTAGATAATGTTAATTTTGACAAAAAATTACAAATTATCAAGTTTAAATGTCAGTTCTGATATATATATTTTTTTTTCTTATAAATTTTTCTAATAAAATGTATTGAAAAATATTGTATTTAAAACTACAGATATTAATAAATGTACATGATTTTTTTCATATGAATATAATGATAATTTGATTTTTGGTGAATTTTTAAAATAATATCGCCTGACTGACCTATATTGCCTTAGGACAGATTACAAAATAAATGTAATCAAGATGGCGATGGTAAAGGGTTAAGGTTAGCCTAGACCTGACCTGACCTGACCTAACCTTGATCACGTGTGGGGCCATCACAACCTATCCAACACAGATCACTTTTCAAATATTAATAGTAAATCAGTATTAATTAGTAGTAGTTGTCCATCCTCTCCTCCGGGAGGAGGTCAACTACTATTTTTGGTCGAATTTACTTCAACCCCCTTCTTCCTATTGGATGAAGTGGTATGGTGGCATTCGAATAGGAAAATTACGTAATACAAGGTTACCTGTGAGCACAAAATATGATTTAAGTGGTTTTTGAGGGTGCCGAGTTTAAACATTTGGTCCATTTTTTGTGAAATTTAATTCGTTGGCAGATTACCATTTGATATTCGACTGTGAATGAAACAATTTGTTACAGCTAACATTAGAAAAAATATTCTGTCTGACCAATGAAATCATGCCATTTCATGCAATCCAAGTATCACAATAAACATGACAATGGTAAGCTAAAATAACCAAACTCTTTATATGGTTTTTGTTTTACTGTATCTTACATAATTATTTAAAAAATTATTTAAATTGTGTACAGTAGAGGAATATAGAATTTTAAAAATGTGTTAGATTGGTCATTTGGTGTGATAAACCCTCACATAAGATCACCTTTGTAATTATATAAACCAAATTCTATAATGTAATATAATAGAAGGATTAGAAGTACGAAAGAATCTAATAATGTTCCTTCTTTTTTTGGAGCAATACCAGGCTTACCTGCAAGTATATTATAAAATACTAATTGCATTTTTAGTGCATAATGATGATGATAAAAAACTACAAAAAACACATTTTAAGTGACATTTGTAAGAAATACCATATTGTGCATAAAACTATACAATATGTCAAGTTACAAGCTTTTAGCACATATAGACTACTTACCTATACCCAAATATAGCAAAAACTCCATACTTCTGGAGTTGTATTAAATAAAAAATGCTGTGAATATGGAAAACATAAATATGGGGAAAGCATTGAAAAAAATTAAGAAATTGAAAAAAATAAAAATAAAATTTGAAAATAAAAGAACTTTGTTATTGATTTTTTAATCTCTGTCTCTTTCCTTAACGCAGCAGTCCCTAAACTTTTCAGGAGGAGGGCCACATTAGTAATTCTAGCAACAGCAGTGGGTCAGAGTGATTTAATATCACATATATATATATATATATGATAGAAACAGTCACAAAAATCAAATATCCAGCAGAGAAGGTGATAGAGCTAACATTTCTGCCCGTGTTGAATGGACATCATCAAACTAAATAACCTCGCAGCTGTTAAAACAATGGGTAATTGCCACGCAAATATGAAGAGGGGGAGTGATTTCCTCTCCCAAATGATCCAACATTTTAAATTTTGTCTTTGACTGGTGACTTTATTTGGCCCCTAATATTTTGCAACTAGTTTTTTAATCTAGGTAATGTCAATTTACAAGAATAAAAAAAAACTAACTAAAATCCTCTTGTAAAATATAACACTAACATATTAGTGTACAATATAACAATGTACACTAATACAGCACACAACATTTACCATCTGAATAAGTAGGACTGTATCTGTTAAAATAACACGAGACATTACAAGATAATATCTGCTAATGTGATATAATACTCAGCTTGCATTAGAATATGTTTATAATAAAAGCACTAAAAACCATTTAATTTTCTTATCCATTGCTAGATTACTTTTGTTAATGTGTCCATGAATAAGCAAATCTTGGCTTCACAAATATGAAAAATAAAAGAATACAAAAAAAAAAGCACAAATGTGTGATATACATAAATATTAAATAACTATGTAACAAATGGAATACACAAAAAGCTTACACACAAATTATTATACACTCAGCAACCATATTACAAATACATACCTCAGAGAATCATAAAAAACACACAAAATATACTATGACCAAGTCATAATCACCGACAACAATTTGTAACATCAGACCAGACATCACATTAATTAATAAACAAAAAAATCAAACATCCTAGACATTCCAAACATCCACAACATACAAAATACACAAATAGAAAAAAAATTAGTAAATATTCAGAACTTGTAGCAAGATAAAGCCCTTATGAAAAATGGACAAATACATATCCCTATAGTCCTTCTTGCACAGACATTATATTATATACTTGTACAAAAGTTTAGGAACAATAAACCTTAATAATAGTGCATACATCAGATTACAGAAAGTAGACATACTAAACATATATAAAGTTGGAAAAATTGAAAATATAGTAGCATCATGAACAAAACACATCTTTTTCCTGTGTTTGCCCCAGAATTTTTTCTGGGTGGTATTAAAAACTATGCAATAGGGTTGATCTCCCTCATATAAATAACCTTGTTCGGACTTAAACAAGATTACTAGCAATAGCTTTAGCATCCTGGTTTGAAATCAGCAGTCCTGCTGTTTTGGAATTATCACAATCATTTTAGTATATGATTCTCATAAATTTTATCAGCCAGGCAGGGCACCTAGTAAAAAGGGCTTGGGGAGAACAATGTCTTTTGGTATCTATGCCTTAATCTTGGTCTAGCATAATACTAGGCACTGGCCAATTGAAACACAATCCACCAACAATAATCTATATATATACATATAAATGAATGTGTGTGTGTGTGTGTGTGTGTGTGTGTGTGTGTCCTTCATGCATTACCACACCGTTTATCCGATTGCCTTGAAACTTTGGGAAGTTGTTTAATATACTCCAGCGAAGGTTTGTGGCATAGTATGATTGCCATGAAACTTTGGAAAGTTTTTTAATTTTTTAATACACTCCCGCGAAGTACATTTATCCTATGATAGATGGCACGCGTTTACACGAGCATTCGCGCACAGTGTGTTCGATCGATTTCAAATTGTGAAGACCATTTCCCCCTTCAAAAAATATCTCTATATATGCATTTGTGAACTGTTATTTACGATATTTGTAATAATTTTTGTTTAATCACTTTATTTCAACTTTTTTTTGCTAATTATGTATTCGCTCGAACTTCATTAAAACCTCAACTGTACCCCGAACAACAACCGAAGTTGTAGGAGGAAATTCGCCTATTTTACCGATCTAGGGATCCCCTTTTCCAAATTTTAATATCAACTCAAAATAATTTAAAAAGACAAATTACAATAAAACGATTTATTATCCAACTATCAGAAATTTCACAACATGCCAAGGAAGAGAGGAAGGAGCAATTAAATAATTAAAATTATAAAGGATTTAAAAATATATATAAAAATGGGGAATATCGCACTTCTGACAATCGCAGCGAGTATGTGGGCTAAATTTGGAGAATCCGTGCTTCTCGCATGGACAACTGTATGTGGCCGGCTCACGCGTCGAAAAACCTTCCGATTTATTCGTGTACGCACCAGACGGAAAAACAAAAAATATCATGTTTCCACAAACACTCCAATAAATAAATAGAATTGAAACGACCCTTTGAAATGTTTTCCGAATGAAAATGAATAATAATAATAAGTTTTAATAAAAATGATAAAATGTAAATTTAATTCTATCATAACGAGTTTGCTTGAATTTCCTTTCTTCTGAGATCGCAGCAATGCGCGACGGGTAAGCTAGTAATAATATAAAATAAATATTTATCCCTTGCATTTATATTAAAATATAGATGAATATAATAAATAAAGATTAATAATAAAACATACCTTTTGAACAAACTTTTCAACACTTTGTACTATATGTTTATAAAATTTAATCCCCTTAATTGCAGCTTTCGTAACTTGAGTCATTTTAGCCTTTGATATAGGTGGCTTACATTCATACAAAGACGAAAGCTAAAGAAATAAAAATTAAAATTAATTGTATGTTATGATTTAGATTTTTTTTAATAATAAGAATTGCACACACACACACACACATATATATATATATATATATATAGTATATTATACAAACAATGTTTATATAAAATCAAGATACTGATCAACAAACAACAAACAGAAAGTCAACAAACAGTATTCGAGGCTCTACTGTACAAATATTAAACTGTATTAGAGTTATAACTGTCAAGATAAACATAAACAACGAAGTGCTGCATATTTTAAAAAGCATAATTGCAAGTACTTTAATATTAATTACATTATCTTCATCAAAACATAACTCTTTTTGTTCTAATAGTCTGATGAAGATAACTATATCTGAAAACAGTAATCAACACTAATAATATGTGAGATTTAGGTTTTGACACAATATATAAAGCCAAAATTGCACACATTTGGGAAGGCAATAAAAATCGCACAAATTTTACACTGTTTTTCTTGCACTGTTACTAAACAGTATAGTAGTTTCTCTTGTAGTTTTAACACAGATTATTTTCTTTGATTCAGAAGTGAAATTAAAATAACAGTTTTGTTTTCAGGTCTTTACAAATAGGGTTCTTACTCAAATTTTTGTTTTGAATTCCCTAACTTTCTCTGACCAACTTTGTCCAAATTCCCTGACCCTCACATTTCTTATGGTGTGGAATATTGACATAATAAAACAGCATTTTACATTGAGTACATCCATTCCTCTTTTTGCACAGTTGATATGTTCCAAAGACTGTCACATAAAAAAATACAGTACATACATCTCGTAGAAAAATATTTGATAGGATCCACAACTTCAACATAATGAAAAAATAAGAAATTTACAAATGAAATACGAGCTTCTTTTTATTTTATCATCATTATTTGTATGTAAATCTAGTAAACACAAGGTAGCATAAAATCAACAAACAGTATTCTCTGATATACAAATAGTACTGTACTCTGCTTAAAATGATAAATTCTTGACTTAGAAACATGTAATTTTAAAACAAATATTTCAAAAAAAAAGAGCAACTTTTTTTAAACAGCAATAAAAGTGCATAAAAATATTGAATAAAAAGAGGGATAGATGTATACTATTGTTTCTATAATAAAGGCATCTAATTTATTGTAAAATCTTTTTGTTTTTTACCAAATGAAGAATCAAAATACTTCTTAGTATTAATTCTCCTTTATTAAAATATGATAATCAGAAAATAAGTAATTAACTACAATTCACAAAACATAACAACTATTATATTAATGTAGTTTTAGCTTTTTCTCCTCAAGTGTATTTATTTTCATTTCAATCTCTTTTTCTTCTTTTTCGGAATCTTTTCTTAACATTTCCTTGCATTGTTTTAAATCCTTAAGTTGTGTAACTTTTCATTTTTCTCCAGCCCTCAATGCCTGCTGCTTCTATCTTTTTTCTGTAGCAGAGATGCAATATATTGCATCTCTGCTGACTGTTAACAACATTTATTGGGGTGGTATTCTGGTCATCGTCTCGTCGTTCGTCTCTCACAAGCTGTTCGCTGATTGGCTAATCATTTGTTTATGTCTCAAGAGATCATCACGTCTCTCCAAACACAATTCTGGACAACTTTTTCTCTAAGATTCTCTCATTTCTCAGAGGTGAGCAGATAGTTGTCTTTCATCTTTTACCTCAATTTCATTATCCAATATGGATGACTGGATGCTACTCGCGCTGTACTATTGTATTAGAGAATGTTCTCTATCTCGGAAAAGAATATCTCGAGAGAAAATGCTTCTGATTTTTTTCCAATGCCTACACAGAAATGCCACTAATTCCATTTTTGTATTAAATTATCTTACATCAATTACCGAACTATTGAATATGATGCTAATATTACTTAGATAGTTAAGGAGAAATTAGATGGTAATATTTTGAAAAATATCTAAGTATGCATGCTTTTCTAACTTAGCTTATTAAAATTTTTATTTCTTAAGAAATAAATTGACATTACAATCTAAAACAATGTGTAAATGTAAAAATGTTATAAAACAAAAAACATAACTTTGTCAAAATCACATGCTTTATTTGAACACATGCTTTCCTTGCTACATCTACATCTTGCTACCTTGATCTTTATAATTACATACTCTGCATTTTCAAAAATTTTACAATTTCATTGGTTAAAATTCTATACCTTGTTGTGCATGCAGATAACATGAACACGTATAATCAACCTAGTAGAGTTGCGACATCATCAACGAAGATAAGATCATTAAAAGTGACTAGAATCACCACTGTCTCTGAAAGAAGCAATGAGATATAAATGACCACAATATGGCCCTCAATCTATATTTATTTGATCAATACCATCAATACCACCTGCAAAATGGATCCCATCATAATCTAAGAATTGAGTGACTAAACTTTCTTCCTTAAGATTTGCACTCAACATAGATTTGTTAGCAGAGAAACCACTCTCAACACTTGCATTCCCATGTGAGACAAAAAGAAATTTTGATTATAGACCATAGAACTTGCAGTTTCCTATCATCCTTCATAATTTTACAATAAAATATGTCCAGACCATCATCATCACTCCTTTCCGATGTGAAGTCTTCAAACTTTGTAGAATAGGGTTCTATGGACATTTTATTCCAGAGTATATCATGCTGTTATTTTGTTTTAACAGCATATTTCTCATCAATCCTGTTTATATCATGTAGAACCTCCAGTAAAACACTGAAACTCAATTTTCCAACATTTGATTGCATTTTAATAATTTCTAGGTCTTAGCTGCTCAAAGCCTTCATACATTTGTATTTGATAGGTCCCTTCTCAATAATTGTTTGTGTCATCACTTTCAGCATATTTCAACAATCTTTTAGAAAACACAGAACATCTTTGTCGCTTACTTTCAATTCTTTTAAAACCTTTTTTGCTCCAAAACCAATATCCAAATTCTTCAGATGTACCAAGTTTTCATTAGCATCTAAATAATATACTTTTAGAAACTGTTTGTTGGTGACCATGTCATTTTTCACAAACTTTCTAATCAGGTTCATTAATAATTGAACAACTACAGTAATACCTCGACTTACGCTACCCCGACTTACACGAACCCGGAGTTATGCGATTTTTAAATCTCGTCGATTCGTCTTTTGTTTGAGCGCCACGCAGCTCTTGATTACTCACTCCCCCCACACTATTGTTTGGCTTAAATGTTCGGACGTGTCGCGTGGAATCGACATATAGCTACAATTTATTTTGTGTTACTTATTTCTGTGTTTTGTTATATCTGCGGAGACTTGAGAGACTCTACTATGTCATCTGAACGAAGTAGAACTGATTCTTCTGCATCAAACAAGAAAAGAAAAACTTTATCTTTGGAATGTAAAGTTAACATTGGGTATGTTCGTAAAGTCGAACGAGTTAAACGAGAATGACGTCATCGTTATTCCTATTTCGTTAGACTTTTCGAACGATTCGTTACTAACGCGTTTAACTCGTTTGACTTTACGAACGTACCCATTATTAAAGACTTCGATACAAAAATGAAAATTTGTGAATTGGCAAAGAAGTTTGATCTACCGGAATTGTCGGTCAGAACAATTATAAAAGGCAAAGAAAAAATTCTCGAAGCTGTGAAAAATGCTCAATCTTTAAATTCAAGCATCATTCGTAAACTTCATGGTATTATCCCTGAGATGGAAATGATGTTAAAATTGTGTGATAATCAAGTAAATATGGAAAATTGTGTAATAATAATTTGTTATACATATGTATTATCTAAGATTTTATTAAACATTTTTTTCTAAATTATTGTTTTCTTTAGTCTCCGGCCCCAATTAAAAATTATTTGTATGTATTTATATGAGAAATTATACCCCGACTTATGCAAATTCGACTTACACGGTTATCGCTCTGTCCCACCTATCGCGTAAGTTCAGGGTATTACTGTACTTTATAAAGACAGGATGCAAGAGGTTTGTTGCTCTGGAATCGGACTGAAAATGCTCACTTTGTGTACATATTGACCAAAAAAACAAAAATTTAACTTTTATAAAGGGATCAAGAATATAGCGACCTTTCTGTCTTTCAACTTTGTACTGTTGTTTATGTATGTCTTCACAAATTCAACAACTTCTGCACATTCTAAGCACTCTCCTTCTCCAACTACCTTGTTGAACCAAACTTTTTGAAAAGTAATCTGCTTCCACTTATAGCAAATGTATTCAGCAAGCTAAGTGGACGAGTCTTTTAGCAAATACAGTAGTACAAATTCTGTAGCAGGGGTAACATTCCAATCTACTACTTTAAAACCAGCTTTTACAGCACCATGGATTACATGTAAACCGCATGTCCCCATTCTCACAAATAATTTACCAACATTCTGTGTCTCCATGTGATCTTCTAATTTATTCAGAAAACATATGTTTACATTTGATCCATCCATACAGATATGAAAAATTTTTGCTAGATCAAGATGAATGTCTGAGAGGTCATTGAGAAATGCAGAGATCCTCTGTTATACTATGATCCAGAAAAATGCTATTTAAATATCTGGTCATAACCTTGTTTTTACTCTTGTTCCAGTATTTTATCACAAAATCCATTTCAGTTCTTTGAGCAACTTTGTTTAGTGATTTGTCAAAGGAGATAGTAATATTATCACAACTTGTAACAGCATCAACCAATTTTTCTCTGAAATAATGGGCTAGGCCATAATTTATTATGTAAGAAGTTTTATTTGGACCCATATGAAATTGTGTGGCTATAGCACTGTCAGGGAACATTTTTTTGAAAATGTTGAAATTATGTTAAACCTGAGGAAGGCTATTTAAGATAGCTGAAAATGTTGTTTGTTTATATATACAAACATCTCCAACCCGATATATAATATAGCTGCAACCAACAGACTGCCGAAAATCTATCGGGCTAGTTTTATGCTATTTATTAAATAAATTACGTAATCAATTTGGTACTAGAGGTAAGCGTTAGGCGCCATCTCTTA